CGGAGTTTGTGAGGAAACGTTTGATGTTAAAAGTAACATAGCTCAAACAAGGCAAAGTATTTGAAATTTCATTGTCAGAAAGTCGATTCTTCAAGAAATGGCAAACGTCGGCGATTGTCCGGGAGATTTCAGACTCTAATCTAGAGACCGGGAGAAACGGTTCAAAATCTGAAGTCTCCCCGATTATGCGGGTGAATTGACAGCCCTGGTGTTGTCTAGAGGATAATGCATCCCGGAACTGTCAGACAAACACAGTGGCTCAATCCGCTTAATCGAGATCGGCGTTGCGATCGCTGGTTGCGAGAAGAAGACATGTTAAAAAGGTGGGTAATTTTCACTTTTTATGTTTAGTGAAAGTCAAGAGAATTTATATAGCAGTCGAAGAAACACTAGTGGGCTTTGTTTTGGCGAGTAATTAAGCGTGTACCGAGGTGCAAGGAAGAAGCAGTTTTGTAAAACGTGTGGACCGTTTTTGTGCTAAATTTTACAACTTGACTGTTCGATCTGTACAAAACACGTCCACACACGTCACTGTTTTTATGCTTTATAGCTTTTATCTCAAAGCAGTAAGACACATTAGAAAACGTAAAAGCAGCGAAATTGCTCTGATTTAGTAATATAGCAAAGTTTGCACCTAGTTGCAGAAAAGTGGCAATAAATTACCGTTTCGGTGCATTATTAAAGTTCTCATTCATGAAAACAAACAAATCTGACTGCTCATCGCAGAAGTTTGTGCTTGGTCCAAGTCTCGTGCTTCCCGACTGTGTCGGTATAAAAACGGAAACTTACTATATCGAGTGAAAGAAATATTCTTTGACTTTTTTTTTGGCATATTATGGATTAACTTGTTTCGAGCTCGCACGGAAGCGGCAGGTTTGTAAAGCACGTAGCGTTGTTGATGCTAAAATTCGACATGATTTTGATCGATCAAACAACATCTCATTGTTAAATTAAGGGTCTGTTATTAAGGAGAGAGGGTTACCCTTGTGCTAGGCTTACCCTAACAAGCGGGTTAAAGTCAGCTCTGGTTTACAAGCAATTTTCCCAGGTGGGGTTATCCTATCACCCGGGTCAACTTTAATACCAGCTTTTCTGACGTGTTTCGTCATGCGTAACATTCTTTGTAACGGTCCAAAATTTGAAATAATCTTCAAGCTCTCCATGGAAAACGCGTGAAATTCACGAAAAACAGGGAAAATATTATCACCATAGACAGAACAAATTTTTGCATTTTTCAGATGTTTATAATTAAGCTCAGAAATTGGATAATACCGTTCAAATTGCCACGATTACTGGTCACGCATGACGGCGGCAAGTTGACCCGGTAGGCGAGTTATCCCTAGCTGAGCGTTTACGAGGCAGGTAGGGTAACCCTCTTGCTAGGAACCCTACCTGCCTTGTAAACACGTCGCGTGAAAAAAGAAGAAATATGCGAGTGCCAGGGTAACCCTGGCACCAGGGTTACTCTCCCTCCTTGTAAACAGAGCCTAAATCAAAGATCTCATGTAAGCTTATAGCTCTTTAAAAAATGGGCGATTGCCTGCTATCGAATTTCGATCTTGCAAAACTCCATTTTGATCGATCCGACATTATTAGAAATTTCAAAATTATCTATGCTAGAAATTTTCTTCTTTGCTGTGTTCAGCCAGGCCAGTCCCTAGGCGTTCTCTCTTGCCCCGTTGTCCGCGCGAAGTCTGGGAAAGAGCGGGCGAGAGAAGTTCTCGGCGTGTATCTCTCGGTGACGTCATAGCTCACGATAGAGTCCAGGATTGACCGAGCAGAGAACGCCGAGGGACTAGGCTGTTGTTGAGCTACTGTGCATTCAAACTTGCAATTAAAAGAATTGACAAATCGATCATAATATTCTGTTCTTAAATTGGTTTCGGGATTACTCTCAACGAGGTACACAGTATAGGTTTGGGTTTTCTGTGGTTACTTCTTTGCTTGTTGTTGAATCAATAACAAGGTAATGAAATATTGACATATCCTTTATTTATTTCCTTTTTTTTTTCAGAGAAGATGAATTTGATCCGAAATCAAACGATAAGTACAGCAACACTTTTCGAAGTTTTCTGATGATGAATTAACTAACAGAAGACGCTGGTAGTTTGTCTTTGAAGTACCTGTATCAGAGGGACACCAATATGAATAAAGATCTTACTCATGGGAAGATCTGGGTTTTTTACTCCTTTGTAGTAATTTAGCATGTACAATAATCACTTCAGCAACCAAAGCAAATTTAAAATCCTTACATAATTATTCCAACCATCATGTTCTCTTCCTCTCCATATTTAACAATTGATGAATTCGGCTTTCGTATCTTATGAAGGATTATGGAGATCGAGGAGGGTGTTATCGGCCGAGGCGGATAACACCCTCCCAGATCTCCATAATTCTTCGTATGATACGAAAGCCGAACTCAATGATTGTTTTTTTATTCATTCAAAATAATTCCTAGTTTAAAAACATGCTTACCTCCATCGATCCATCGATGTTAAGTTCATCTTCGATAGTGCACGTTTAGGGTTGTTCAGCTCCGCAAATATTCTCCAAATAGCAGATATCGCCGTTCGAGTTGTCTTTTTGCTGTTCTTGCCATGTTTTTAGCTATTTTTCCGCCTAGCTCTTACTCTTGAAACCTGTTGAAACGAGTGAAATGTCCGCCATTTTTCAACTTCCCAACCAAAACAACTCAACCTCGTCCCCAGGTCTTCTCGGTTAACGGTGCATTAACCTGCAAGAACGCTGCATTTTTGAAGTCATTTAATCGCTAAACACAAAATTCTTCCAAATTTGGTCATCAGTAACCGGTTATGGTGAATTAAACGTGTGCTTTAGCCAATCAGAATCGAGCGAGTATTTTGAATGAATAATAAAGGGTTTTCAAAGTTTTTTTCCCTCAAAATATTAGTTTAATACCTAAGATTGTGACTGACGCTCATGCTAATTTAAAGAAAAAGAAAAGTACTGCAACACTACTTTGAATCATTATGCAGTCATGGTCAATTACACCCCTTTGGAACGTTCGAGTCTTTCCAGTCTGATTTGCTAGCTGGTAGTATGTTCCATTTATTCATCATCAATTCATCATCAAAGTTCATATGGGCTGTAGTGCATTATCACATAGTGCACATTTTCCCCCGACGCTCTATCATTTTATGAACTAAAAGAAGGCCGGGTTCACGCACTCGTGCGTCTTGTTGTATATAAAAATTCATTCTATCAGTTTTAATGTAGCACTGCACATGACAAACCTTTCAAACGGCGATGCAATTCTTCGATCCTTTACGAAACAAATGAGACAAAACATGGTAATTATCTTGATAAGAATCTTCTATCCACGATCTATCTCTCGCTTGGAGTAAAATCGCCGAGTATAGTGAAAACTGAAATTCGCTTAAAATATTGAGCTTCCGTTGACTTGACCGTTGAATTGAATGGAAGCCCGCCTAAACATTTCAAACGTGCCCGCGCAGATTGGTAGTGTGCAAGGATTTATGGGAGTGACGTGTATATTTTCGTTTCCAAACCCCGCGCTATCATTACGTCTTGGCAGGAAAGCAAAATTACAGTAACCTATAAAATCTTCTTACCTGCTTTTCCTCAGCCTCTGCCTTCACTATCCTTTTAAATTTTAATCTTTCCTTAATATCCTCATACACTGTAACCATAGCATTATCATCTCCATGATGGGCTCCTTTCTCCCTCTAGAAAATCATCTATATTAAAATGGACAGATTCAGAACAACGATCTTTGGTCCAATATGCGCCATTTAAGAAATCGTTGTGACTCAAGACGACTTACCTGAGGGCTCTTTCCACCGTTGCTTGTGTAAACTTGTTTGCCTCTAGCCATGTCTTAACTTGCTCTTTCGAACTACAAACCCTTTATTGAAGCTCTCAATGATAAAGATAAAGCGGCCCGTACTCAGTGATTAGGAACTGATGCTTCCGATTAGACACTGATTAGATTAACATATATTCTTCAAATCGGTGTTGGTTCTAGTGGTCGGGCCATTTTGCGTTGTCATGGGGTCTAAACAGCTCTATTAGTATAAGCCAAGTCAGTCCTGAATCGGGGCCAACTAGACTAAAACCCGAAATGTCTCAAGTTTTTTAGTAGAAATGGCTCTAGTGAAAGGGACCGACATACATCACATGGCTGAAACAATTTCTCCTGTTGTTCAAAACGGTTTTCGATGGGGCGGCAATGGTCTTTATTGGGTTCGATTTAGACCAAATTGACAAAATGGCGCCACGAAAGGTCAAATTAGCTCCAGGGGCTATAGAGCTGAATCAGCACTTTGGGGCTGAAACAGACCTTTTGGATTTACAGTGTGCATAATGATTATACTATACCGGTAACTTTAAACAGGTAAATGTTTAAAATACAGTTATTGTTTGCCTCATATTATTGTAGTCGCTTTAGGTATTGGTCGCGGCGTTTCGAATGCCTTCTTTTTGTGTCCGCCAGGTTCTGAGGTCGAATGATTACATAAAGCCTCTTTTGTCACAATGTTCGGCTGTGTTTCCTGCGAGACGAAGAAGTTCTTTCCTCGGCGGTTCACTGCTTTTCCCTCATCATTGTGTGTTTCCTAACCCTGGACATCCAGGCATTTCAATTCCTGATTGTATCTGTTATTGTTATCAGGGAAGCCTCATAGACATGTGGGTAGATTCCTTCACCCTACTGTAGTACTATAACAATGGGTCGCAATAAATAAGATTTACCTCGTTCTAAAGCAGATAATGGCTAGTCGTTCCGGCTTAAATAGACGGTGTGAACGATTTCCTCCGAATGGAAATCTATACAGGACAGACTAAGACAGCACGAATAGGACACCAGTATGCGATTCAGATCCTTACCAAGACCTCCGACGTGGCTGAAAGCGCTCACCAAAAACGGCCGTTTATAGATATTGCGCCGTCCCCACGATCTGAACGTCTGGAAAGGCTAGTTTATAGAACTTTTCACTCACGTGGCCAGCATCTATGCAAATTTATTGGAACAAAAGAAAGCGTTTGCATAAGAAAAGAGTTCAACTCCCACAGGATTTGTTTGGGACACCAATATGGCCGCCGTGACGTCATGTGAAATCTTCGTTTAGGATAGGGTGGTATACCGCTTAGCTCATGTTATACAATATAATAACTTGGTCATTACCCGTTAATCTATTAGAGTACAGGAGACGTTGATGTCATAAAGAATATATTTTCAGGTCTTATCCAGCACACTTATGAATATGCCGATGTGACATTCGGATTTATGCCGAACACCGGAAGAGACACGCGAAGTCGTATTTTTATACTTTTATTGCTACTTAAACTGACAATGCTTTCACTAATAACTCCTCGTTTATTATAAGCAGCGAACACTGATTAAGGCAAAAAACGTGTTGTAAAAGGCGGCAAAACCCGTTACCTTAAATACCAGCGATTGTACGGTGCCGTGATATGTATTTTGCACCTAGCGTGCAAACGAAGCGAAAAGAAACGTCCTTAGCGGCGATTTCAGCCTCAAGAAAAGGCTCTATTCGCAGGGTAATTTGCATTGGTTTCGAGGATTAGATTTCAGGTTTGTGTCAACTTCGTCTTTAAGCTTTTGCTTTTTCCATTTTTGTTGTCAGATGGCTTAATTTCGAGAAGGTTGTCGAAGCTTTGATTGCTGACAAGGTACATTATTTAAACCTCGAACAACTTCAAAGTATTATCCAGAAAGTTTGCTTCATTGAAGACGAAGATGAGGTCGACACTTTGTTGAATTTCTATCATGACCTCGGCGTAATTGTCAGACACCGCAACACAGTTATACTTCGGGCTCAGTGGCTCATTGAGGTCTTCAAACAACTTATAACCATTCGTTCTTTTGACGAAATGGTAAGTGAAGCATATTTAAGTGTATAATCCCCTTCCACGGAAAACACCATCCCACACTGCCATAAATTCCCTGCATTACGATTGCCATTGGTTGTCATCTTTTGATTACATCACACCCACTAAGACCAACTCGGCGTTTCCGTGATGGATTTCTTTTGTTGATATATGCAGTCATAAAACTGGCTAAATATTAGTGAACCCTAGCAGGGCCAATTAAATGTTTGCATTTAGTAAAGCTGCAGACAACATAACTTGCACTTAAACACATGGCAGTTTAGTGATTTTACATGACATACGATTTGTAGCTTACCTTTACGACAAAACGTCTTATTTATGACGGCAAGGTTCTTAATGTGTTTCAGCGGAAAAATTATTCTTAAACAAAAAACAAACAAGAACCCTACGATATTCCTACGCCGACCTACCTCGACCAGTGCTTCTCGTCATCTGCTCCCAGCAGTCATTTAATTATAGTTTGAGAGGTAATAAAAAGCTTCGGATCATACATTTATTAATACATCATGTTAGTACGTTAAATTGCGTTCTGACATGATGTATTGATGAATGTATGATCCGAGTCTTTTTATTCCCTCTCAAACTATTACGGGACTTCTACTTTCGAGGCCCTCCTCTTTAGAACTTACTTCACCACCAAATTGTTTTCCTAATCTAGACAGATTGTTTTAATGGTATAGTTTTTTTCAACCATGCACGTTATTTAAATCCTTTTATATTTCTTCTGTAGTAGCACCTGAGAAAAATATGAAGATCCTGAGATTGTTAATAGGTTTGACGTACTGAAGAATTGTCTTCTTTCGGTTTTGTTAGGAACCGAGACATTCCGAGTTTTGGAAGGAAATGGAGACGACAGGTGCCCTACACATGGAGCTGGTTGATCATGTGTTCTCCAAGTACCGCCAGCAAGGCCTGATTAAGGAAGATATCCTGAACATGATGGACCAGTTCGGATTGATCGCCAAGTTTATCACCTCGCCAACAAATGAAATGTACTTTGTACCCTGTCAACTGAAGACGCCACCTGAAGCGATTTGCGAAGTAGAGCCATCACCGTCAGATCCATGTCCATTATACCTGAATTTTCTGGGGAGTTTTGTTCCGCGCGGTTTCTTCTGGCAGCTTGTGTCACGAATCACCAAATGGTGCTCTAAGAGTGGATTTACGCAGCCGCCGAGATTTTTTCTTGCGGCCTCCAGGTTTGTCATAGAGAAGAAGTCAACCCGGCATCAGCTTATTCTTTTGTGCAAAAAACGATTTATCAAGATCGTCTTGACGCATTCAGAGCTACTCTGTGGAGTATCATTTTCCGAAGCACGAGAATTGGCGATTCTTGTGCGAACGTTCTTGGAAGAAACAGTACAGGACCTTAGACGTGAACTCCCTTGGTTGCGCAACATGAAGTGTGATTTTTGTGTTGCATGTCCTTGCTGTTTGCGGAAGGAAGAAATGTGCTCTGATCACAATGTTGTTTCTTGTGACCACAAGGACTGCCTGTGCCTTCTTAAAGTTCTCGAAGAAGGGCACCCCAGCCACTGTCCAAGTAGCCTAGACCTTAAAGTACCGAAGGTTTTCGGACTGGAAAAATGGTTTGCAGCCAAAGGTTAGATCACTTGATACCTAATAGTACATTTACAAATGTAGGAAAAGGAAATAAACCCTTATAGTCATTTCGGACGAACGTAATAGTCAACGACGATAAAACTGGTTTTCCATGTACGTGTTTCTAATGAAACGTTATAGCGGGGCTCCCACGCGCGTAAAGCGTCTACAGATTGTAAGGGTTGGGTAGGGGAGACTATCAAAAGGAAGGGAGGGGTGTCTCAGATTTGTCTTGGCAAGTTTACATCTTGTATATTGGACATTGACAAAATGGTCAATTGACAGCTGTCAAAACAGGATAACCACTGACCAGTATCACATGACCATATTGCGGTCTCATGTGTTAACTCATCGAGGTGAAGTGATTTATTTGCAAGCTGTCTGCTGACCAGTTAATTGTTTTACTAGATCACGATCAATGTTCAGTCTCACTTTCTAGCTAGTTTGAGAGCACAAGAAAACTGATAATGCACACATATTGGACATCAATGTTGTCAAAATAAGGTATCTGCTGACCAGTATTACTTGACCGTATCGCGGGCTCAGGTGTCAACCCATCTAAGTCAAGTATTTTTTGAAGTCTTCCGCTGACAAGTTACTAGTTCTCAAATAATCGCAGGCTCAAGTTTAATTTTTTTCAAATTCATATGAAATTTTGTCGTGTATTTCTGCCGCACAATTAAAATTTTGATTTCAAACTGACTTCGGACGCGAAAATTCAGCCAGCTATTACAGGCAGGGAAGACAGTTGCTTTTGACTTTGCTCATCATGATCACGCGTTTGTCACGCTCTTCGTCCAATTTTTATGCTGTGATTGGTCAAAATTTGGCAGGTGAGTTCATGCGGAAAATTTTTGCAGCATCGTGAATCTTGTTTACTTTGACAGCTGAAGCTGACAGAGTTTTGTATCAACTTGTGATGTTTTTAACTGTCTTTTTCCACTGGATGTACAAAATGAAATTCAGCTGCTATCAGGAGTCTTCTGTTATTCATGGCTGGTTTGTTTATTGGAATTTTGGTTGAGAAATACGTCACTTGTCAAAGTCGGAAATTCGATTTCGGATGGCATCGTTTCCGTTTTTCACCTTGCTTGATGCGTAAGAGGGTTGCAAAGTCTGAGGCGATACTGGCCTTACTTGATACCTTTCAGGGCTGCATCTCGAATGGTAAGCCAGAGTAATTATTGTATTTGATGTTTGTTTTTCATATCTAATTTAATGAAGTCGAGCGTAGTTTTCGCGGCCATTTAGTTTATACACGTTTGTAAGATTTGAGACAATGATCTGACCGAATATCAGTTTTGATATAAGCTTACAGAACTTTAAAAAGCCTTTAGACATTTTCTCACCGCAAATAGAAAGAAAACGTTCCAAAGACTATTTAGTTATAATTCTGGCTGTAAAAGAAAGCTTTGAGCTGTTTTCTTGCCTCGAGTTCATCTTTGAAAAGAAGCAAACACCGGGAGCCGGCTTAAACCATAAACTTAAGCTTTAAGGTCTCGGTAAAGGAAAACGAGGTGCCCACAGAAAAAGATTCCAGTCGCGCGAGTATTTTCGCTACAAAGGCAAGTTATGTATCAAATTAAAGCTAAAAGACTAAATTACCTTATAAAAGATTTTATTTCATCGAATTTCAAAAGGCGCTTAAGTTTTTTGCTCTCGAACTCAGAGGTATCGAGTTTACTGCTGAAGCTCCAGCCCTTTCGCGTTGTTAAATATTCACTTCCTTTTTATTGCATCTGATTGACAGATAAAAGACCTAAAAAAGGGTGTGAGGAAATTTGCATATGTCTCGTATTAGCGGAATTATTGCATTTCAAACTAAAAATTAGAATCTCGAGCGCGATTTACGCAAAGAAACTGACATAAAATCAGTTACAAAGGGAAATCGGAAAATTCCTCACACCCTTTTTAAGGTCTTTTATCTGTCAATCAGATGCAATAAAAAGGAAGTGAATATTTAACAACGCGAAAGGGCTGGAGCTTCAGCAGTAAACTCGATACCTCTGAGTTGGAGAGCAAAAAGCTTAAGCGCCTTTTGAAATTCGATGAAATAAAATCTTTTATAAGGTAATTTAGTCTTTTAGCTTTAATTTGGTATATAACTTGCCTTTGTCGCGAAAATACTCGCGCGACTAGAATTTTTTTCTGTGGGCACCTCGTTTTCCTTTACCGAGACCTTAAGCTTGAAGAGTCAGGATTTTTAGAGACACTTTAATATTTGTCTTCGTGAATGAAAATTGTTGTCTCTGTATATGTTTCACCGAATCCAGGGGGGAAGGTGTCTCTAAGGAAATATGCGGTACAGTCCGCCTGCCAGTATGACGTCACGTCTCGAGTCAGTGACTTTCAAAATGGCGAGCAAAGTGTTCATCGAGGAGACAGATAAAAATTTCGATTTTGTCACGGAAATACTGTTCCGATTTCTTGGATTTGGAGATTTTAAGGTTTCTATTGTTATAGAAAACTAGATTTAAGTACTTTTTTGGAATGAAATGTCCAGTGAAGTGATGAATTTTAAAGATTCCTTTCCATCGTCGAGCAAATTTTACGGGCAATCATACCGACCGGTCACACTTTTGAGGGCCAGTGCACAGCAAGATTGAGCAGTTTAGACACAGCAATGGGAGGTTCATCAAAGGATGTATTATACTTTACATTGTGGGTATTTTCAGCTCTTCAGAGCTAGTGGAACCCCATATCATTCCTCTTAAAGTTTGCTTAGCTGTAGCGTTGAAAGAGGAAGCTAAATGACAGGTATTTGTGAGAGACTGTGAGCATTGAATCTTGTTGCTTTACCGCATTTTAATACTGTATTGGGCATACACCTGTAATTCTGTAATTAAATCCCGAAAACCAATAAAAGGTTTCGTCTAATTATTTTTTGGGGGCAAAGCTAGGGGAGATTTTACGGTAATGATAGTGATGATTAAGACGATGTTCAAAAGGCAAGTTTAACTTTCGCCAGTGGGTCACTGGTGGGTGTTGGGTGTAAATTACAGTGAAACCTGTATTAAGCGGACACCCTCGGGGAATGCTGTAGTGTCCGCTTAATACAGGGTGTCCGCCTAATACAGGTTTCCATAGATAACGTCATAAGAGATGTCAAATGCCATTCAAATGAACAGTGGAAAAATTAAGAATGCTCCCAGAGACTTTGACGATATACGTTTGCATTAATTTCTTTATCAAAGTGGACCAGTTGGTCATAGTACCATAAACATAGATTGCAACTCAAATTTAAAGAAATCAGATGAGTGAAACTAGCTCTATACAAACAAAACGAAATAGAAAACAATACTGTACTGTGAAAGTAATCAAATAAGTTCGTCAAGTCACGTTTTTTAAGGGCAGTTGGAAAACATGGACTGGACTCTGGACTGGACTGGACTCTGGACTGGACTGGACTCTGGACTGGACTCTGGACTGGACTTTGGACTGCACTTTGGACTGGACTTTGGACTCGATTTTTTTTACTTTTTTTTGGTTTCTTTATTTGTTTGCGAAAATCGTTTTCTTTCGACAATGTTATGTGGGTGGCTACACGTAGGTCACATTCCTGTCATTTTCTCATTATCGATGACTTGTCTTTTAGAATTTCATGGTGCGTTTCTGCTTCATTGAAACCGGGGGGGGCACTTGGGTATCTTTTGGGTGGGTATGTGCCGCCCAGGACTCCAAATTGGCACCCCGTTCTAAAAAAAATTTTCCCCTAAAATTGATACCCCGTTCTAGAATTCGCCCTAAAACTGATACCCCGTTCTAGAAATGGGCCAATTTTTTATACTCCGTTCTAGGGTGCAACAAGAGTACAACGGTTTGATGTCCTTGAATACTTTCAAATGGCTGCTTACAAAGGTGGATCGAGCTTTCGTGCGTTCGAAATATTATACCCCGTTCTAGAAAACGCGTCTGAAATGGATACCCCGTTCTAAATCAGGAGCTTGAAAATGACGACCCCTTTGGGCGGCACATACCCTTATAGGTAATGCATGGGAGTACCCCCCGGGCATTGAAAGCAGGACAATTCGGTCGCATACAGTGGAATAGCTTAAAAAACAAGAATCGGTGAAATATACATATTCAAACTACCGCACTGAATAGCCATGCAAGGCAGAGAGGAGGCTAGAAAAAAAAATACACCCCTTAAAAAACCAGTCCAGTCCAGTCCAGAGTCCAGTCCAGAGTCCAGTCCAGAGTCCAGTCCAGGTTTTCCATCTGGCCGTTTTTTAATGTAAAAATCGAAAAAGTTGTGGGTGGCAATTCGAGGTAATCTTTCCCATTTCCGGTGTCTGGCATGTTGGGTAGTGGAATTTGATTAAAAGTGTCCGTTTAATACAGGTTGGTAACAATAGAAATGACTATTTCAGGTACTTTTTAGGTGTCCGCGTCCGCTTAATAGAGGTGTCCGCTTAATAAAGGTTTCATTTAAAGTAAATAAGGGAAATAAAATTTGGGACTTCGGCTACTGTCCGCTTAATACTGTGTCCGCTTAATACAGGTTTCTCTGTAGTACAGTTTGTGGTGTACTGTGTGTTGTTGGTCACGATGTCAACTAACATTGAAACAAAATTCAGTTGTTTCAGAGGAGGGACATGTCTTGACAGGGCTTATCGTTTTTATCTGGTCGTAGGCTTGGCCAGTATGCAGATCAAGAGCTTTTGAAATCCCTTTTCCAAAATAAAGCTCCGGACTTAAGCTTAAAATATCAAGATTGATCCAAGTGCATGACCAGCAGGGTCAGCAGTAAGAATAAAGAAAAAAGGCCAAAGGAAAAATAGTGTTAAAAAAAGAGGCCAAACAGAAAAAAAAAACGGTACAAAAAACAGAAAACAGCATCGCTGGGGGTCGAACCCGGTGTATCTGCACATGTAAGCAACTCCTTGACCACTGCACCACAGTGACACACATGATTTGCAAAATTAATTTTGTCATATCAAAACAATTTTTCTCTACCATCTATAGACGCTGTTTGAAGCTGGTGGAGCTGTATTTATCATGAATTC